CCCAGATTCTAATAATTATTTTTCTTTTTGTAATCATTATTTAATTCTTGACCAAAGAATTTTCAATATTTTTTTTCAAAAATTGAACGTCTCCACAAACATTAGTCGACGTAGGTATTTATTTTATACACTCATTTATATTATCACGCTTAATGTTTGTGCAATAATTGGGTTGACTTTATTTTAATGAGGCGATATGACCGTTTTTGCATATGCAACGTCTCAGTGTAATAAATAATCATAATACTAAGCAACTTATAGTAGCAATTATTCTACTACCGAAAATAATGTGCATACGTTATATTTTATCACTTTGCGAAAACTAACCCAAACTGACCTTTTAAAATAAACTTTTTTTTATATTATAGACTAAAGTTGAATTTTAAATGAACCAAATTAGGTATTCCTTAATACTTAAATATCGGGTCTTCAAAGAAAAACCAATCAAAGATTGCTATGGTTTTTTGAACGTATGTCTTAGCAATATTTTTCTTTAATTTTGTCAAAATGTCATGTCGATAATGAAGGATAAAGAATTCGGGTTTTCTGGATTCTGGACAACGAACTTTTTCCATAGAATGCAAAAGCTAATAGAGGTCCTATTATTTTTGAATTCTTCCTAATAGGAATATGTTTGTTGAAACTGATTTCCACTAGATATTTTAAACCGAAAGCGAAACATCCAAAATCCTAAATGTTGGGTCAGAAGAGATCCCTGATATAGTAGAGGAAGAAATTGCAAAAGCGCTAAGCCAATTAAACAATCGAAAAGCTCTAGGAATGAACGATATACTACCAGAAATACTGAAGGAGGCAGGAGAATAGGTACCTTGTAAAACAACTAAAAACACTTTTCAATAAATTTCTAACAGAGGGAAAATACCACACGAATGGGGGAGTGCCATCGTCGTTCTGATATAACAAAGGGGGACCCATCAAATCTTGAAAACTATAGGAAAATAGAAAGGAAATTCAACGATTACCAACCTGGAGAACAAGCAGGCTATAAAAAGAGCTACAGAGCTAGAATATCTTCACACAGTAAGAATACTAAATGAAAAGACGACCGAATATAACATTACAACTAGCATTGATCGATTTTAGGAAAGCCTTTGACACTGTCTAGTTCTGGGCGATAGAAAAAGCAATATGGAATGGAAGAAGAAGAAGAAGAAGAAGAAGAAGAAGAAGAAGAAGAAGAAGAAGAAATTCTAAACTCCAATAAATTTCCTAAAAAAATGGAAATTATGCGTTTCTATGGGATTTTGTGTGTACTTATAGGATGTCTGAAAGGCAAAGCCAAAACACTGGGAGAGGCATCTGAGAGGGACTAGCCTACAAATCTTACAATATATGAAAATACGAATACAGTTTTAAATTCTGAAAAGCTATATGCCTAAACTAAATATAAACATATTTTCAAATATCACTGTTTCGGACCCTATAAGTTTTGTCTCTTGTATATGTCAAAAGCAGGTTGAAATATGACAAGAATAAATACAGTTTTCTAATTTATAATGATTAATTATATGCGTTCACAATATAGTGTTAGTATCATATCTAATTCAAACGTGCATGTCCGCTGACAGGATAGACAAGTTAAATTCAGCTTGCAAACCGGGAATGGAATAATTGGGTTGATCTGAAATGCACGTGACACCGGGACGAACACGAAATTGCCATTAGGAGCGTAAACTATTTACGGATTCCCGGGTCATATGAAATTTTAAATATTTTCAAATATCAAACTGTCACCGCGGCGGCCAGTGGCAACCTAGTGTGGTTGTGCGCTCTTGGAAATTTTTTTGGAGGTGCCACGTCCTGTTTTACATTTATTTTGTATGTTGATTTTTTTTCTTTTAACTTTAGGAAAAATGATCGAAAACAAAAATATATGTATTTAAATGAGGCTTGAATGTTTGTATTCTAGCCATAATACATAATTGATATTGAAATTTATAATTAAAAAAAAAACCGCGAACAACAGAGTTGTCAAACCGCCAAAATGGTGAAAAAACATCGAAATATTCTCGATTGAGTGGAAACAACATTGGAAGTGTGTATTCAAATAGCGCACGGCGCATCCCTTTCATCGGGCGACTTACCGCATATTTCCGATCAATCGCACAGCGAGAAAACACATCTACCCAGAGCGCCGAACGATTCCACACCGACCACCCGGACCACCAGCACAACCAAGCGGGAGAAAAAAATATACAAGACAGGCGCAGGGCGCGCTTTCGTTCCGTTCGTGCGAATTTAAAAATAGAAAAATGAGTAGATATTTATCCTAATTTAGAAAATTGGGTAGGTATTTCTTAATTGAAGTTTCTTTTCTTTCCAAAATTTTAATTTTATTTTCTTGCTTGGTTTTTGGAGGCAGTGCGCGCGCACGAGCGCACTTATTGAGAAGCCGCCCCTGGTCACCGCACTAATATAAATTGGAATTTTTAATACGAACCAAGCGCGAGGAAAACGATATTTCCATTATTTTAAAAGGACTGTTCTGTTCTGTCCTGCTCTGTAATTAATTTTAAACGCGATATCATGTCGGATGTATAATTGATAAAGCGGATATGAATTGGAATGTTCAGAGCGAAGGGCTCGCCAAAAGATGTACCTTCGGTCATGGTCAATAAAGTGTTGTATGACAGTTTTGGTGTCTGAACCTTGCTCGAGTAGTTGTTGCTAACTTTTTAATAATGACACACCTCGTCTGAAATCACTCCTACTCAGGACCGTTTTCTCCCAATGGGCTCTTTCACTAATTTTTGAAATTGGCATATTTGGATAAAGTAACTAAAAACAGAATTTTCTGTATTTTTACTTTTGAAAAATTCATAGTCCTTCTTGAGAAAACAGAAAAAAAAGAAATACCTCCAAATAAAAACCCAGAATTTATTTCTATGACGTCGCAGCTCGCTATTTGACCGTGTTGCCACTAATTGTCAACATTGAAAATTTGTAATAGATTTAATTCTGAAATGTTCGCAAAATTTCATGAAAAGTAGTTAAATTAATTAGTTATGGATTCAAGATTTTATAACATTTTTATTGAAATTATGCTTAAACACAATTTAATATAATTTTCTATGTTTAGTTTTATTTATTTATTTTACGTTGCACTACATTTAGTCACCACCGACAACAGCGCATTCGAACCTTTACCTGCATTTACTACAGGATAAATACAGCAGAGGCGGACAGCTGTTTGCAACAACAAGCGAAATGAAAAATATTTATGCGACGTCAGCAAATCGGCGCGTTTTTAAATAATTCAAATTTTGGTAGTTTAAAATGCCTGTAAAAAACTTATTTAACCTTGTAGAACATTTTTTTTTGGTATATGTGCCTAAAATAGTCCCTCCTTTGGGATTTTATACCTAAATTACGTATTTAAATTTTAGTGAAAGAGCCCATTTTAAACAGCTTACAAATTTTTTGTCCCGATTTTAACAATTGCAATTTGCGTTTATTAAATTGCCAAAAGACTGCAGTAATTATACAGCGTGTTTTCTAATTGAATGTCAATAATAAGGGAGTTGATTTTTGGGTTCATTTTAAAAAGAAAACTTTATATGACTTGTTTACTTTTGAGATATAGGGTGATACGGAATTTGACCAGCATATTTTAGCAGACATTGATGGTACGCCACTGATTTCTCTTAGATTGAAAGTTATTTTTGAATTCCTCAATCATTTCTGAGCAAAGTTGATCAGTGGCGTACCATCAATGTCTGCCAAAATAGACAGGTCAAATTCCGTACGAACGCCACTGGTGGAAATTTAAAAAAAGGTTGTACATTAAAAAATGCCTCTTGATACATAGTACGTACACAGGGTGTCCCAGGGAAACAGTTCACCTCGATTTTTGACTTGAGAGGGAAATATTTTTCAGTTTTTTTCATCCCCGTAGCTTCAACCCCCTAGCTAGAGGGAGAACAACCCCCTCAAATTTGGATTGGGGATAGGGGTGGTGTTATATCTCTTTTTAAAGGTCTCATCGAGTCCTTTATGGCCCTAGAATTTTGTCTTATTATTTTAATCCGTAACGAAATGACAGCTTGTCAAGATCTTGGAAATAGACTATTGTTTTAGTGGGAGTAAAAGCGATATTTACCTCCCTCAATAAAAATACTTAAAATTAAAGTTTTTTATTATTATTATTAATTAGTTGTACACGTGAATTCTAAATTGTAGGTATTTTTATTAAGGAAGGTAAGTAGGTACAGCTTTTACTCCTACTAAAACAATAGTCTATTTCCAAGATTTTGACAAACTGTCATTTCGTTACGGATGAAAATAATAAGATGAAATTTTAGGGTCATAAAGAAATCGATGAGAGCTTCAAAAAAAGATATGACTCGACCCCCATCACCTATTCAAATTTGGGGGGTTGTTCCCCCCTAGCTAGGGGGTTGAAGCTACGGGGATGAAAAAAACTCAAAAATGTTTCCCCTTCAAATCAAAAATCGACGTATCCGAGTGTTTTTTCAGATTATCATTCCTAATCCAATAAATCGGGGTGGACTGTTTTCCCTGGGACACCCTGTATGTATGCCAAATTTCATTAAAATATCTGAAGTAGTGTTAGGGATATTAATAATAAATTATTTATTTCTGAAAACTTTATCACCCTGTATCTCAAAAGTCAAGACGTTTAAGACATAGGTTTCTAGAAAGTTTTCTTCTCAAAGTGGACCCAAAAATCGCCTCCTTGAATATTGACATTCAATTAGAAAACACCTTGAATATTTTTGTGATTTATAGAAATATCAGGCATTGACAATGATTCTATTATTTAAGATGGTTCCAAGTCTTATGTCTCAATAAAATGCGGGTGCAGTGCGGCTTGAATCCTATAAAATAGTTCGATATCGATGCCTATTGAAAAATCAGTTTAACTAATCTAAAGCAATAAATATATAAAGCTTTGCTTTCGAAAAGGATTAACTTATCTTTGCTTGATAATTTCAATAATATAATGTAATCTGACTTACTGATTCAAATTCATTGTCCTAAGTATAATAAACCAAAAACTTTTGATAAACTACATCAGTTGGTATTTGAACATAACGAACGTGAATTGATCAAAATTCTATTGCTTGAATTATTGTCCGACATTGAATTTTAAACAAGACCAGTTCTACTACCGAAACACAAATAAATTTGATTGAAATCACATAGTTCTATTGCTTAATCCTAATCGATACTAAACATTCACTAGACTACGAGATGATAATAATGATTAATTTGAAATATTATCTCAAGTTTAAAGATATATTTTATTTACAAAGTTAGCAGCAATATCTCGATATTGGGGCCAAATAGAAAAAGTACTGAATACGTCACTGGATTCTGTTCAAAAAAGTGCTAGAAATTATTTTCATAAAGTTTTGAAGCTCTCAGTATTGTTCAATTCGAGAAACGCCCTCTAGCGGCCGGCAAACCCGTTGAAGATATAAGGTCTGTTCCAACCAGAGATATAAGAGAGTTGTTGGTTAGAATAGAATAAGGGTCCATCCTGCGCAACTGGCCGAATTTGAAGGACCGTCATTCTTATCACTTGTCAAATTCGGATTTGGAAAAATAAGTTATGAACAGCTCATACCTCCAAAAATAAGCAGAAATAACAAAAATAAATCTTTTAAAACACCACTCTGATAAAAATATCTCAGAAAAAGCAGGAAAAATCGCCAACAACAACAATCTGTAACCCAAGGATGATACACACTACTAAGGATGGCTTATCCTCATAAGGCCTGTGTGTAACAAATCCCCCCCTACCCCGCCTAGCCAAAAAATCAGTTGTGACGTAAACATCATGGCGTTTTTCGTCTTGACGTAGGCTGTTTGCACCACAGGTTATGTTATGATCTGGCTGCTGGCTGGAAATTATGAAACTATAGTTTCTAGTATAATTAAAGTCTAAAATTATAAAATTATATCAGATACATATAATCATGACTTTTAATTATTACTGTTGTGTTCCTCAATGCAAGTCTTGGGCTAAAAAAAAAAGCTGACAAAGGATTGAGTTTCTACATATTTCCCCTTGAAACAGGCCCACGGGTTTATTTGGAAACGAAAATGGAAAAAGAAGTGTCGAGAAGAAAAGCCTTCTGGATTTTAAAACTTCGTATTGGCAAACCAGTCACCAAATTCATGAAAGTGTATTCTCTGCATCTCAATTAAGCAAGAATTTTGTGTTAAGGTAAACAAGCATAATGGATAGTTTTGTGCCCTAGCTTCATTTTAGGCCTGCTTCTAGGCATTTATCAAGTACTATCTATTTTTAAAATGTTTTGTTTGAAAATATTGACTGTTTTTATTATTTACAGGTGAGAGTACAGGTCTTAGGGCGGGTATTATAAAACTGCTTTGACAGTTAACTTAAAGTTAACTTTTTGAATTACATGTAATTCCAGAAGTTAACTTTAAGTTAACTCTCAAAGTAGTTTTATAATACCCACCCTTAGAGGTACAGGTAGAGGTCGGATATTGAAAAAAACAGTTGTACAATCCCAGAATTTGCCCTCTTCTATAGTGATCCATAAACCGAGCCAAAAAATAGATTCCATGGGTGCTGAAAAACTTGCTGAAAGAAAAAGAAATCAAGATTCTAGTGAGACTGATACAAGTAATGAATGTAGTTATACTTTTAATCAATTATTAAACTCTTCTCAGATAGGCATACAAATGGCTGAGCAAACAGCAGAAGAGAGCTGGGCAGGGCTTGAGTGCTTTGTGCTTGCGAAAGTGCTTGAAGCACTTTGAGGACTTGAAAGCCCTGTGCTTCAAGCCCTTTTATAGATTTGTAATTGGGGCTTGCAAAGTCAATTACTTTAGAAAAGTCCTTGGTAATTTGTAATTGAAAAAAGTAATTCAAGCCCTTTCAATGAGCTTCAATTACTTTTAGAGGGCTTGAAGCACTTTTAGGAGCTTGAAGCCCTTTGAAAGGGCTTGAAGCACTTTAAGAGGGCTTGAAGCACTTTTGGGAGCTTGAAGCACTTTGAAAGGGCTTGAAGCACTTTGAAAGGGCTTGAACCACTTTAAAAGGGCTTGAAGCACTTGGAATTGACCATCATTCAACCTATCCCTCACTTAAAAATTTTCGATCGTATTTTGTCCTTTAATTTTTTTTTCTATTATTTGAACTTGAACTGTCTTATGTCTTTTCTCTCTTAACAATGGAGGTTTTGGGTTTGAGCTTAGAATGGAATTAAAAAAAAAAATGAATGAACTTATTATTCAAATAAATAATTAATTTATATTAATTTAACTTTATCACTGGATTTTTTTCACTTTTCCCCATTGAACATTTTGAAAACCTTAAAATTGAATTACCATGTAGTATCCCAATTACTCCAAGTACCCCAGAACTACACCTCAAAAAAAACATAAAATCTAAATTGTCAATGCTCTCAATTTTTTTATGTAAAAGGCTTGTGTTGCCAACATATAGTTACTAAATTTTTGACTTGGGGAATTATCTTAAAAAAAAACACACTTTACTACTGCTACTCTGTGAAATGTAGAGTTCGTCTCTACTATACCAATTCTGTGTGATGAGTGTACGCGGTAGCTTATGCCACTTTGAGAATTTTATTACAAATTCAAAGTGCTTCAGGCACATATAAAGAGCTTCAAGCACATTAAAAGAGCTTGAAGCCCTTTTCAAGGCACCCCAAGCACTTTTGATGTGCATCAAGCACTTTTCAAATCACTTTGAGGGCTTTGTGCTTGTCAAGCCCAAAGCACTTTGAGGGCTTTGTGCTTGTGAAGCACTTTTGAAAATAAAAAGGAATTTTTGCTTGAAATTGAAGCACTTTGATAGAGAGCTTAGGGCTTAGTGCTTCAAGCCCTTTTACTGAGGGCTTTGCCCAGCTCTGCAGCAGAACGTGTAAAGTGTTTATTAAATCCTAATTACCAGTATTATATTATAGGTAGTTCGAGTAAAAATCAGATTTGTGGTCAAGTTATTCGACTTTGTTAATTTAATTTTCACCTATTTATAAATAAAAATAAAGAGTTATTTATAAAATGTTTATTTATTTATTACACATACAAGTTATTCAAATACAGACATTATAAGGGAGATCCATACCAGCCTTGAGACCCTTTTGGCAATGTCCTATTGTAGAAAGTTTACAAAAATATAAGAAAAAGATCCGGTTAGGCTGTTGTATAGATATAATCATTTCGGGTCAGATAAACGAAATAGATTATAATGAATTTTGGCCTGCATCATCACGAGCAGCATTATGGGTGAAAATTATTACCCAGTGTGAAACTTTCGAGAACAGTGAATAAATAAGTCGATATTGCATTTGCAGCACATTGTTCTTCCTCGGCTGCTACAGTTTTGACCACCACATCGTTTTTTTTACGTTCAGGAAAAGTGTTTCAATAATGATGCAGTCCATAATACCTTATATCATTATTGACTCAAAAATCACTTGCTGCAGCCCGAAGCATATTCTCCTGTAGCGCAAGGTGGTACTTTATATTTCCTCGGGTATGTCTGAAAATAAAAATAAGGTTAAAATTGTATGATTTCCCAAAAAATTGTTAATTCTACTCTACCTGTGATATATTTCCCATTCGAATAAACAATTTCTGCACTAGCACAAAAGTTGCCTAGTAGATAAGTCAAAACCACGTTCCTCATCTGCTGAATCTTAGTCAGTGAGCTCTATGCTTTCTGTGTGGGCTCGATATATTATGCCATCAACATTTTCATTATCATAAGCAGTATTCAAAGCTTCCTGATGGCTAATTCCACAAACAAAATGTAAGTACAGCTAAAAATGTTAGCTTCTGCCCAGGCCCATATGCCATATGGGACAGTAATATTTACAAGAATATAATACATAAACAAACAATTTATGCTCGAATAGGAATATGTTATAATAATATGAGAAAACCCTAAAAACAATTAAATAGTATAGAATAAATTATCTTATAGTTATTATACTTACATAAAGAAATGTAAACAAAACGCCGCGTAATTCTCCTAGGGCTCCATTAAATCATACATGCTGAAAACGTGTAAATAGGCGGAATGACGAAAGCTAGCCAGATATCGCGCTACTGGTTCCATCATAGCATAGGGTACCTTTACCCGCTATAATGGTTAATCAAAATCAAAATAAAATATTTTTCATGACAAATTATAAATTTATAAAACCGCTGGCGCAAACAGCTGGCGACTTTGTTATGACGTCAGCAGTGGTTGGAAACAGTTGAAAACCAATATGGCGGCAATTACCCAAAAAGGGGCCGATAAGCACTCCTTAGTAAGTTTATTCTCCTTGAGGTACTTGTAGATAACGTCAAATAAAATGTAACAAATGTCAAGCACGAATTTGGCATTCTACAATTATTAGTAATTTATGATTTGAACGTATACCAATAAAAAAAAATAGTGTAAAGTATTCGTGGATAACTGGTCTTTAATATACTATTAAAGAAAATCAGGAAAAAATCAAAACTATAAGAAAAAAACATGACTTCTCGTAGTTTTCAATTTTTTTCCCTATTTCATTTAAAAAGATTTTGAAAAACAAATTTCACATTCTCATTGTAACTTTTTTCCTCTACAAGATGGCCCTTGAGATGGCCGTATTAAATTTAAAATCCAACGTTTCGTTCCTCTGGAATCATCATCAATTTATTTTTTTTAAATACGGACCTCCTTTTTTTATTGTGTTATTGAAAAATTATAAACATTATCGGTTTTAGGATGCCCAAAGATGACAAAATCGCAAATAAAAAATCCAGGTCCGTATTTAACAAAAGTAAGTTGAAGATGGCCCCCTGAAGACGATACGTCGGATTTTAAATTTAGTAGCACCATCTTCTAAAGGGGAAAAAGTGACAATGATGAAGTGACCTTTATTTTAAAATTGTTCTTCAAATAAGCCCAGGAAAAAATAAAAACGATTTTACAACATTTCGTTTTTTTCCGAATATCTCCGGAAGTGTACGGAATTTTTCTAATTTCAAAACGGCATTCTATTGGTCATTAAATTGCGCAACTTTGCCATAATTTAACCGACCCTGTATCTCTTACGGTTTCCGAGATCCCAATGATGAGGCTCGAATTTGGGCCACCCTGTACATGCTATTTCAACTTTTAATAGTTTAATATTATTTTTTCAAGAAGTAGAAACTCTTATAAAGGATAACTTTTTTTCGTAAAATTGATAATAAAAAAGTTTCCCATATGCTGCTAACTTAAGTGGATACACTGTATTTTATGAGAAAATTTCATGAATCAAAAATTTAAATTTTT